TAGTTATACTCTCTTCAATTATGATAAGCTATAGCCAGGCTACCTAAACTTATAGAGCGGCCTGACTAGCCTGTTCTCAATAGCATATTAATATAATATAACCAAATTATATCCGTTAGGTTCCAAAATGTTCGAGGCATCGGGTCAGACTACCTAAACTTATAGAGAGGTCAAATCCTCTACCAGGTTCGTTTCTCTCTGATCCAGTTTGTACGAGGCAGTAGGCCAGGCTACCTGAACTTATAGAGCGGCCTGTCCCCTGTCAGAGTTATTCCCTGAAAACAAAGCAGGAGAAGGGCTGAACCATCTAAACTTATAGAGCGGTTCAGACCTCCTCGTTCAGAGCCAAAGAAACTGAAAGAACTCCCAAATAAACAAGGCGACCAGGGTACCTAAACTTGTAGAGCGCCCTGGGTCCCTGAAAATCATTCACAATCATGCCCTCGCAAGTCAGAGCAGTCAGGTCACCTAAACTTATAGAGCGTCCTGACCCTCCAAGCAATTCACAGCACTGGGTCTCCCCAAACTTATGGGGAGCTCCCAACCTCCAGAGCTTCAGGCTACCTAGACTTATAGAGCGGCCTGAGGCTCCATGCAAACCAAAATAAAACAACGCGCTGGGCTTCCCCAAACTTATGGGGACCTCCGAGCCTTAACGACCCAATCAAACTACACGCAATACTGCCTTCCTCCCAACCTTCCCCCAGATGCAACCCCTTCTCTTCAAAGTCTGCTTTCAGACAACCAAACAAAGCCTGAAGTTGAACTTACACACTCTTTCTTTTATTTTAGTCTGAGTTCACATCCTGAAAGTCAAGCCAAATCAGAATACAGGATCCACATCATACACTCAATCAAACATAGAAAGGTGTACAGATAGGGGTTATAGATGGGTTTATAGAAGGGGTCAAGGAAATACCACTCAGTTCCCTGCCTCTAGGACTCCGCCTGAGCCCCGGTAGAGCTTCCGCAATCGGTGGGGCGAACCTCCCACAGAGGCCTTGGCGCGGATTACAGGCCACAAGCCCGCCTTCCGCCTTCCCCTCAGAACCAAAGGGACTAGACTTAGAGGAAGACGGACAGGATGAGATGGGGTAAAACTCTCAAACTAAGGAAGGGTACTCTCAGACTCGCGTGAGAGGGCCTTCCAGTCTTCAGCGCCTGAGGGCCCCACAATGGTGGCCAGAAAAACGGAGCAGCTTGGTCAGGTCAAAAGTCAAACGCCGAAGTCAAACTCTCAGACGCCCTCCCGAACTGCAACAATGACCTCCTTCCCGTCGTGACACCGCAGGTTGCAATAGCCAGCAATCGCCGCGGCGGCATGCAATAATACGCCGCGGTCAACGGGAGTAGTTGCTCGCACACAATTCCCAATTGCCGCTGTGACATTAAGCTGCAGTCTGCAACAGACCCGAGGGGGGGTGCAGCGAGTACAGCAACACCGCGGCCGTGTTATAGCCCGCACAGTCTTCCTTGCAACTGCACAGTTGCCAGTAGCAACAGCTGCAGCAGCCTGTACTTGCAATGCACACAGTTATCCATAGCAGATACCGCACAGCCCTGCAACCGCACGGTTGCTCAACTACTATCGCTGTCACCAATGGGGTAGCCACCGCGTGTGCAGCAGGTAAGGCCTCAGGCTAGGGTATGCACTACCTCCCCCTGTTTTTTCCCCTTTGCCGACACGCACCGGACGTCTGATGAGCCTCCAGGTTCGCAGCCGGCCTCATCCTACTGCCGTTGACCAGATAGGCGCCGCTCGGAGTAGCAGGTAGGCCTCAGCCCCGCGGTAGTCGGTCCCTCCTATGCACAGGCATTCGTCATCAGCTATAGGCAGCACAGGTATCCCGAACCGAGCACCGTGCCACTCCTGGCTACTTCATCATCACTACGAGCCTTACCCCGCCAGAAGGTAGGAAAAGCCGAGGGGAGGCTGAAGGTGCAGAATCTGGGGCCGTTTATTAAGGAAAGGAGAAAGGGACGAGCACAGGGATAGATACTTTTGACTCATGCCGGAGAGTACGGATGCCGCCTACGTCAATATTGTTAGTGTTGACAACGTTCTCCCCTCATCGCGCGAGCAGCTGACTCCAAGCCCCTGCCCGTTCTTCACCCCACTCTCGTAACGAGACCCGGATGGTCGTGTGCGTCCTCGGATCAACCGTAGTAAGGTCCCCGCTGAAGAAGACAACTGTCGAAATGTGGCCGGTTCCTGGTGCTGAGGGTCGTTGATAGGCCGATGCTTCGGCCAGCACCTGTGCCCTACTGTCGGGGACCACAAAGCGGAACTCTGCTGCCGCGTGCACTCCCGCCGTACTCGAGAACTGAGCGGAGAAAGAGGAGAAGAAGCGGAGAGATGGCGGAGGCAGGACACGTGGAGGACTATGGGCCTAGCTGACCTACTGCCTGCCACTTCGGGAGCGAGGCGCACGGTGTTCACTCCGTTAGGTCCGAGCTCGATCACTCGAAACCACCCGAAGAATCGTGGCGCTAGTGTTCCTTGACGAACACATTTCCTTACATGCACCAAGTCCCCTAATTAATACTAGGGCCGGTGACCCCCGTTCCCGTTCCGGGCCTCATAGCTTCGGATATGTCGGTCATGGGCCATTTCCATCATACGTTGTCTTTTTTGGGCTAACCGGGGGAGGGCCCTTTCCATGAAATCCAAACGACGTTGGGCCTTGTCTCTAACCGTCGCTCTAGTGACCCTTCGGGGAAGGGTCGTTTAATCATTTCGGCTCGGTATCGAGACGCAAGCTAGGCTATTGGTCCATAGTTGAAATGGCGAAAGTCTCGTAGATTCATGTGGGGTCCCTCGATGTATGGCTAGGATGTGATCTACGATGTCAGGCCACTGCCGCGTGTCCTTAGCTGCAATATTTCGTTGGAGTGCCATTTTAATTACTCGGTTGGCGTTTTCTACGAGGCCGTTTGATTGAGACATATGGGAGGCGGTATTACGAATGGACATCCCATGCACGACCAGATTCCTCAGGACTTCGCCTCAGAATTCTGCTCCATTGTCCGTAAGAATTTCCTCGGTATCCTGATGCATCTCGAGGAAACGGTTGACATACCGCGCGGTCTCTGCCGTCTGCCTTGTCCGACATGGGTATGCCTCGATCCACTTTGAAAAGTGGTCAACAAATACCAAAAGAATTGAATGCTCGCAATTGTTCGGTCCAGGGGGCACGGCGATATCCATCGTATCCATGCTGTCCCTCTGGAATGGTCGTTGAACTATAGTGGGCACTATCGATCTAGGCGGCTGAACCGGGGCCTTGTCAGCAGCACAGACGGGACAATTTTTAACTATGAAATTAACGCCGTCCCGGATATTGGACCAGTACCACTCGTTTTTATGGATGGCTGCCTCGGTAATTCTGATAGCGAAATGTGTGGCCGTCTCTTCATGCGCAGCTCGTACCCAGTCATACCTTGCGAATGGGGGCAGTACCACCATCCAGATTCCGCTCCCGACCGTTTTCTTTTTCTCTAGCCCTCCCCTGTTCCACCTATAGTCTCATGCACTCTCATTGGCCTGCCTCCGATCCTCCTTAGAGAATTCTCGGACTTTCCCTGGATTGTTCAAAAAACGTTTGTCCATACTGCTCCTATATACGAGCGGGCAACACACCAGTGAATCGCCAGCGTTGTGATAGATTGGGCAACGGACCAGCCCGTCAAACGTATGTCCCCATCGAAGGACATCATTCTCCTCCAACCCTCCTTCTCCCAGATGCACAACGCTGTTATTAAAGCAAGACAGCAGCAGTTCCTTCCTGATATGACCTTCTTCCAGACTCGGTAGAAAGGACAACTGAGCAAAAGATGCAATGATCTGCCGGGCTAATCCTCGATGTGAGACAGCACGAGAGGGAAAAGGGATATTACGTGAATTCCTAATAAAACATGGCACAAAATAGACCATTGACATGCGAAAACATACGTGACCATTCACACGTGGAAACAACTCATCGAACCCTGAACAACAACACTCATGACTATCCAATCTAGAAGCTTCCCGGAAATTGAAAAGCAAATCCCCCACACTTCGATTCTTAACCCACACAACCGTCATCCTTCTCGCCATCATGTCTTTAACACACACTGGTGCATCCAAACCGTGCACGCGCTCACAACACGCCTTTCGGATGGCACACTTGCTAAGACAGGCGTTGAAAGTAACCCGGACTACCAAGCGCAATCTAACATTGAAACCGAACCGTCGCCGGATAGGCCCCGACACCACACATCTCAACGTGCAACGGGTGCGTTTCTCCTTAAAACTCCTGATTGCGGCATACAGACCAACCATCCACTCAATACTCCATTCCCTAAGACAGAGCCTAGAAGCCGGGTCATTGAGGAAGCCTAGAAGGGTTGGTTTCAGACAGAGCAAAGTAGAACAGAAGTATGAGATAGAACGAAAATGCAGAGTCAGCCCATCCGTCAGCCATCCCCAAGTTTTTTTCAGAGCGTCAACACCGTACACCGTTTGCACAATCGAACCACCGTAGCAACGCTTCAACACATTTCATTTGTCCGTCAACATTGCCCCCCCAGTACACTGAACAACCAACTCCTTTCTCCCTTTACCCCGTGCATCCTCCAATAGTCTTAAAAGGCTAACCGAGCAGCCCCCCTCAGCAGCGAGACATAGATGTGTCCGTGTCCTCGGTTCGGTTAGCGCTTCACCACCAGCCTCGCCCAGTGCTTTTTTCCTGCGTTCTTACAGGAGGTCTCAGGGAAAGATGAAGGTATGTTAAAAGCGGATTTTCGCAGGCTTGCTGTTGAGGACTGCCGTTCTCTCTCTCTCTCTCTCTCTCTCTCTCTCTCTCTCTCTCTCTCTCTCTCTCTCTCTCTC